TGTCGGTCGTGGGGCTTGAACTCTGGGCCTGGGCGCTGTCCCTCAGCTCTTCAGCTCAAGGCGAGCGCTCTACCACTTGAGCTACAGTGCCACTTCCTGTCTTCAATTCTGTACCTTCTGATTACAGACTAGAATGTCAGGCTGTGAAAATTCTTTGGATTTACTGGCTTGTGGACAGTATTAGCCTCTGATTTATTTTGGCTACTATATTTGTCTGCTGTGAACTAAGGAATAATGAAGACACAGTTGTTGCTTGTTTTTATAACCTAGATAATTTCACCTGAAAAGAAGGTGGTATGTTGGGTATGGCCTATTTGCCTTTCAGATTAAAGACGGGATGTGCAGAGTGAAAAGAAAATAAAGTCAGCCATATTCTTGCCTTTATTTTCCATTACGGTTTATTGGCTCTAGGTAGTTAGAACTCTTTTTACTATTCATTTCTCTGAGCCAAATAGATTTTCCAATGTTTAAAAAGTGAGAGGAAATATAAAAACGTTTTAGACCAAACCCTTCTTTCCCTTAGGGCCTGTTGAGTGACCTTTAAGAAAAGTGAACAGATACCCTGGGAAGCATTTACAGTTCTGGAAGATCTGCATCATGTGTACATGTGCAGTGTGTACGTGCGTGTGCGCACACACACAGGCTGGTGACTGGAAGTGATTCCTTCTTTCCTGGGTTCTAACTCATGTCTATACTAGGGAAAGAAATGCCATTTTTCTGCCTTATTACCATTTTTCCACTGCCATATGAATATAGTGCTAAAGGCCCAGATATAGAATCAGGAAGTCTGAGACTCATGCTCATGCTTTGCCATTTATTGGTATATGACTTTGGACAACTTTAGCTTCTCTAACACTGAGATTTTTTGCTTGAAAGATGGAGGATGGAGAGACAAGTAATACCTGTCTCAGGTTCTTTGGAAGGCATCAAAAGAATTCTAGGAAAGCATCTAGCTCAGTGCTAAGTTCATGGTAAACTGAACTCCCCTTCCTCTCCTTCTGACTCCCTTTCCTTTCTGTGTTCCATTTTCCGTCTTTCAAAAATGGTGTAGAGCTGGGCAGCAATGGTTCATACCTGTAATCCTAGCTACTCAGGAGGCTGAGATCTGAGGATCACAGTTTAAAGCCAACCTAGGCAGGAAAGTCCTTTGAGACTCTTATCACCAGAAGTAGAGCTGTGGCTCAAGTGGTAGAATGTTAGCCTTGAGCGAAAGAAGCTTATGCAGCCCCCAGACCTTAAGTTCAAGCCCCAGGACTGGACACCAAAATAAATAAATAAATGGACTGGGAAGGTGGTTCAGTGGTAGAGTGCTTGCCTTGCATGCAAGAGGCCCTGGGTTCAATTCTTCAGCACCACATATGCAGAAAAAGCTGGAAGTGGCACTGTGGTTCAAATGGCAGAGCTCTAGCCTTGAGCTGAAGAGCCAAGGGATAGAGCCCAGGCCCAGAGTTCAGGCCTCATGACTGATAAAAAATTAAAAAAGATTCAAAAGTGTTGTAGAAAGCCTATCAATCCTATCTACTCAGGAGACTGAGATACAAGAATTGCAGTTTGAAGTCAACTCAGACTAGGATGTTTATGAGACTTATATCTTCAATTAACCAGCAAGAAGTG